GAGGGGGGGGGAGTTATTTGCAACACACAGAAGTGACAAAGTGTTGTATCCAGGATAAATAACGAATTGCTGTAAATCAATACTCCTGCAGAAAGTGGGAAAGTGCCTTATACAGACACTTCCAAAGAGAATATTTCAATGGCTGATAGAAAAATGAAAAGGTGCTCAACTTTATTAGTAATCAGAGAAATGCCTGCGTGTACCTGCTCGACGACCCACAGCCTGGAGCTCAGTCCTCCTCTACGGCAGTGCATGTCCAGGCACAGGGGACACATAGAACAACGTCCCACTCCAAACTACAACAACCTAAATGTCCATCCAGAGCAGGATGGACCCCTGGCCTGAGGGGTGTTCAAGGCGGAGAAAACTGCCCAGGGTAACGGGACAAATCTCTGCTTTCTTCGAACCATCATGGAAACTCACGAACACAGCACTGAACAGAGGAAGCCACACAAGGGAAGAAACATTGTTTGATTGCATTTGCAAGTAAATTTCAAAAGCGGGCAACTCTGCACAGCCGTAGTGGGGGTGCGTGCTGAGTGGAATGTGGAGAGAAGGGCAAGCATGCCCCCAGTCAGGATGGCAGCGCGAGGGGGGCCTTGGCATTGGGAAGGGGCTCGGAGGCTGGCGCTGGGCTCCGGCTTCATCTGGGTCGTTTCATGCACTCTGGTGAGGAGGTGTTATCTTCCACTTCAGAAAGGAAGTTTAAATAAAATGAAATGGAGCGTGCAGAGGCCTCAATCATTCTGTATTGCTTCCTGCAGCAGTGCAGCCGTCCCCAGGAAGCACAGAGATTTGCTAGGGCCCCTTGTCCTGCCTAGCTCCTGGGTTGCCGGCTGTCACCGCACAGGTGTGGCTCGCTACACTGCATTTAAGGGGAGGTGGTCCCAGGGGGCCGGGGACTCCCGCACACCTGCCCTCCGTCCCGGTACCAGGGGCTGCACAGTGGAGGTCTCCTGAGGGCTTTGCACATGACTCCACGCATGCAGGAAGGATGTCAGAACCCACCCGGTGATACTCTCTCTGCACCCAGGTCCTGGCTCGGGGTGGGGGGGGGAAAGGACCACACCCGCCGCCAGGGCTTCAGGAGCTCCAGAGCGGGAAGGGTGGGTCTGATTTAGGGTGGGTCTTCCAGTGGGGCCTGGGACAGGGGGTGCCACCTCATTGTTTAGGACTGGTGGATGCAGCAGAGAAAGGACTTTGAGTCAACGGGGGTCCAA